AGGAGCCTGGACAGACAGACAGGAGTGTGGACAGACAGGAACGTGGACAGACAGAAGTATAGACAGGAAGGCAGGAATGTGGACAGACAGGAGCATGGACCTTCGGACAGGAGTGTGGACAGACAGGAGCATGGACAGCGGACAGAAATGTGGGGTTTTTCTAGGGTGAAATTAGGTTTTCTTTTAAATTTGGAATTACTCTTGCAAAATACTTTACTGTTGGCTAGCAAGTTTATATGACTAAATTTGAAGGGGAAAAAAGCCCAGTAGGAAGGTGTAAGACAAGAAGAGTCACGCTGTTCACCTGTGCTTTGCTGTCTAACGTTGTCTTTTCAGAGTGAATGAGTTACACGATCCAATGTACCAGTATCGAGTCGACACAGGAAATTTTCAGGTAAGGATAGTTACTGAAGCCTGAGGAATGTGTTTAATGCCATCTAAAAATCACTGAACTTGGTGCCTTAGATGGAGCTTGCCAACTGCTGACCTGAGATGACGCCAGGAAGTCAGTGGCAGGGACTCTGGGGAACCTGTGCTTTGACATTGGAACCCTCTGCGGTGCCCCAGGCCCCGGCTCCTGGTGGGGTCAAGGGCACAGGTGCGCCACCTACTGGTGGCTTCGCAGATCACACGAGAAAACCCTGGTTTCTTCCCGTCCAGCCCTCTCATGCAGGTGCGCCCTCGGCACCAGCCTGAGGTGCCCGAACCTGGTGTCCGGGGTTGTATTTTACCCTGAGGCCCACAAGTGACAGTCCTGAGTGGAGCACAAGTCTCAGGGCCACCAGGAGGCTGGGACCAGAGGTGACACTCAACGCTGCGGGCGGTTCCCAGCCCCAACTTGGGAAATAACTCTGCTCCTCAGAGTCGAAAACCCCCTCAGGGGCAAGGGGGCGGCTGAGTGGGCCAGCTGTGCTGCCGCGTGGGATGGGCCCCAGAGGAGGGACTGAGAGCAGGATGAGGGGTCGGAACCTGCGTCGCCTCGGAGACAGCGCGAGCGCCTAGTTCTCAGCCGGGGCCTGGAGGGCCAAGCCGCCACCGCCCACCCGTCTGCCTGTGACTGGCAGGCTCTGACCTTTGCCCTTGAAGAGCGATGCCCTGGTGCGGGAGGACAGCCTTCAGGAGCAACAGGCCGGTCTCCCGAGCCGCCGCTGGGCCCATTCCTAGGGGAGGGGCGGCTTCATGGTTGCCCTTTTCTGTGTCTTTTAATAGGTGTTTGGGGTGGGGGGGGTGTCTGCCCTTGAGGTAGAAAGGAGGGGACACTGCCCAGGCTCAGTGGGGGCAGCTGAGGCCATCGGCCTCCCCGGAGCCCAGGCGCTGGGCAGCTGACGGAGCCGGTCTCCGGAGCGTGCAGGCCTGGGCTGTGCTCCTGGGCGCCCTGGGCACACACCGGGCCATGCGAGCAGGCAGGGCCGAAGGGAGTGGAGAGAGCAGCCGCTCGCACGTTCCAGGGGCCCTGGCCAGATCTCGGGGGGCTGCGGGTCAGTGCAACCCCAGACTGAAACAAACTCTGCGATGATTCGATGATTTGCATTGACCAGTGCTTGGGTCAGAGGTTCCTGCAAGTGGATCCCAGATCCTGGCCAGCAGTCCAGCTCCTTCCTGTGGCCTTAAGGAGGATTCTGTTCCTGGGGAGGGGAGGGCAGAGCCAGAGGGGCCCCAGGGAGGGGTCACAGCCTCCTCTGGCCTCACACAAAGTTACAGAACCGGGCGACTTGAGACCCGAGGCTTCCTGATGACCCACTCTACCCTCTCACGTCACAGACAAGGAAACCGAGGTGCAGATGCGTGGAGTCTGCCCCTGAGCGCAGCCCTGCCCCTCCCCCACGCGTGGAAGGCCTGCTGGGTGTCCCGGTGGGGGAGGCCGGCCCCAGCCCACCTCACTGCCCTGCGTCCTCTGTCCTCTGGCTGGGCCTCGGCCTGCAGGCCCAGCGGCGGCAGCCATGCGCGTGCAGCACGTTCTGGTCTCTTCACGGAGCGGCCTTTGGGTGCTTGTCCGGCTCTCGCGAGCTCACGGGGAAGCGAGGCCCGAGCCCGCCTCCCCTCACCGCCCCCCCGCCTTCCAGGGCATGAAGGTCTTCTTCATGGTGGTGGCGGCGGCCTATGTCCTGTACCTGCTGTTCTTGGTGGTGCGGGCCTGCTCCGAGCTCCGTCACATGCCTTACGTAGGTAAGCGCCCTCAGCCGCCCGGCCAGGCGTCCACCCACTGAGCGCCGCCCCCGGGGGCCGCAGCGGCAGAGGCCGCCCCTTCCTGTATGGCTGAGCCCAGTGCCTTCGGCCCCGGCGCCCCGCAGCTGGGCAAAATGGACAGCGAGGCTATCTGGCCAGTGCCCGGGGCCAGCGCTGCAGGAGGCCTAGGGAGAGGGAGGCCGCTGGGCCCAGGCTGCCGGGTCCTTCCGGAATGGCAGCTGGAGCTGGCCAGGCGCCCCTGTGCTCAGGTGAGGGCATCTCCTGACCCCGTGGGACCCTGTCACCGAGCACCCAGTACCCACAACCGCTTCTCCAGCCTAGGCACGAGAGGGCCCACCCCCAGGGCCCTGCCCAGGGCCCCACCCAGGCCCCCGCCCCAGAGCTTCCCTTCACCTTGGTTTTCATTGCGAGGGTCTCTAAGGAGCAGCTGCTCTTTACCTCCCAAGTGACCTAGTGGCTGGATTTCTTTCTTTTTCAGATCTCAGGTTAAAATTTTTGACTGCGTTGACTTTTGTCGTGCTTGTCATCAGGTGAGGAAACTTTTATTTCTTGACGCAAAACCATAAATCCCTATTTGACTGTGGTGAGTATCTTTCTCCCCTTCTACAGAGGGAACTGTAAGGTACTTCCAACCAGATACGGCCACTCCGTGAGCGGGCCCCTGCTTGGGCACGTCTTTGCTGTGCCTGGGGGAGTCACTTGCTCACTTGCTCACTGTGACATCCCACCTGGTCACAGCGGACGGTGGCCAGAGCGAGAATAGGGACATAGCCCCGTGTGTGGCTGGGGCCCAGGACACCAGGACGGGACCTCAGGCAGCACCCAGGAAGGGAGCCCAGGCAGGAGTTGTAAGTGGGGGAATGAAGGGCAGGGCCTGGTGCTCAGGCTCTCAGCGTCTGGACTCCAAGCAGGTGCACTGGCCCGGTGGCGAAGCCACGGTGCCGGGAGGGCCAGGCCCTCGGCCGATGGGTGCGGCTGGGGCAGGCCTGGCCCCGGGGCTGCTGCCCCTGTCCACGCACCATAAGCGCGGGTGGTTACGGGCAGGAGTCACGCGATGCGCGTTTCTCTGAGTGGCTTGGCGGGGGATCGGCAGCCAGCAGCCCTTTGCCCTCCAGGGAGCCCCGGGCTCCCAGAGGCCCGCTTTCGGGGTCTGCCCTGCGCCCCCAGCCCTGCGGACCGGCCCTTCCGCATCGCTGTCCCGGCAGCTGGCCCTCCTGGGCTGACGCCAGGAAGGCAGCCCCAGGTGGGGTGCGCGGGCCAGCGGGGTGCGCCGGCTCCACGCAGCAGCAGCGGGGGAGGCTGGCCGGGGTGGCGGGGGGGGCGGTGCCGCCGGCTGCTGGCGCCTTGCCTTACCTGCCCTTGCCCTTCTTTCCAGCATCGTCATCCTTTACTTGCGGTTCGGAGCGCAGGTGTTACAAGACAACTTTGTGGCCGAGCTGTCAGCCCACTATCAGAACTATATCCTCAGCTGGAAGTGGTCGAGTCGGGCGCACGTGGAGTGGGCGTCCGGCTTGTGGGCCTGAGGGCGGGCGAGCCCTCGGGTGGGCCTTGGGGCCTCCCGCCAGCCACGGGAGGGGCCTCTCCCGTCTGGCCCAGGAGCACCTCGTCATCCCTGTAGTCAGGGCGTGACACGTGCCCAGGTCCCTTACCAGGTGGCAGAGCCTGGGTGCGAATTCAGGACCCAGCATCTCCGCACCCCCTTTTTCCTATTTGTGGGGGTCTCGAACCTCATGCTGTCCTCCTAGAGCACCGAGGAGAGGCGAGGGCCTGATCTGTGGTCCCCTCCCTGTGGCCCCTCACCATCACTCACACAGCTTCATGGCTGCTCTGGGCACTGCGGCCGTGAGGCCAGGGCAGTGGGCTCAAGGCTAGTGGGCGAGAGGCAGTGAGGGGCACACTTTCCCAGGGGCCCCCTGTGCCAGGTACATGGCAGGTGGAGTGTGCTTCCCGCCGCATCGGGGTGACGGCGCCTGCCAGTCACGTTGGGGACCCATCCTGTACACTTGGGTTCTTTCCTGGGGCGCCCTGGTGGCTTCAGAGCTCATGTGCAGTCTTCCCAGGCTTGCGACTGCTTCCTCTCTGAGCTGTCGCCAGACTGCCGACAGGCGGAGGCGGCGAGTCTCTTCCAGTTCTTCGCTTCACTCTCGGCCACCCATGTGCGTGTGGCTTCTCGCCCTGGCGTGGCCCCCGATCGCGTCTGTCTGGCCGCCTTCCCAGGCTCCTGTGGATAGCAGAGAGCAAGGTGACCGCGCACGGCTGCGGGGCTTGTTCTGGCGCCCCGACTGTGGCTCGCGGCCTGGGGGCTCGGTGAGGTGGGCGGTCGGAGCGGGAGCAAGGCTGAGAAGGGGCGTGGAGGCTCCGGGTCCGACCCCTTGACTGTGTCACCAGCTGAATTCTTGTCTTTCTACGGCTTGCTGAACTTTTACCTCTACACTCTGGCCTTCGTGTATTCCCCATCAAAGAACGCTGTGTACGGTAAGTCGCGGGGCCCAGGCCAGGGTGTGCTCCTGGTTCCCGTTAGCACCGGGACAGAGACTCGGGCAGCCTCTTAGCAGACAGAGGCCTGATCAGGTTAAATGGGGAGGCTGGGGCCCTCCCTGGCGGCGCAGCGGGTCAAAGCACAGCACTGCTGTGCAAGCTGGCTGCAGCCGCTTCAGTGCAAGTTGCATCCCCGCCCCGGAGGTGACCCACGGGGCGCAGAGGACCTCTCCTGACACGTCCGCTGCTCCCCTCAGCAGTGGACTTTGTCAGGCAGAGACAGGAGACCAGGGCTTTCTTCAGGTCGCCCAGGTGGTAAAACAGCGGAAGCCCGGATATGATTCTAGCTCTGACTTCTTCCAAGATAGCTTTCCGCCTTCCCAGACTCGTCACGTAAATTGTGATAAAAAAGCTGCTTTGGTTTTCAGAGTCCCAGCTGAAGGACAACCCTGCCTTCTCCATGTTGAATGACTCGGATGACGACGTCATCTACGGGTAAGTCTGTCCCTGGGACGTGTGCGCTTCCGCCTGGCCCCGTGTACCCACCGAGCCGGTCAGTGGTCACTCTGGAACGATTCTCAAGGGGTTGCTGCCTCCCCTTGGCCTGGGACGGTTTTGCCCGTGGCTTACACGGTGGGGGATTCTTCTTTTCTGCCGGGCAGTGAGAGTGAGTGGGGGCCCTCTCCCTGGTGACAGGCCTGTGATGGGTGGGGACGGAACGGGCAGCGTCGGGAAGAGTGCCTGGCCGTGGAGTGGCGCTGTGAAGTGCGTTCTGCTTAGGACGCGGAGTCAGGGTGAGAGGGAAAGGGCCGTCCCAGCCCGGCGGGAGGTATCACGGGTCTCTCTCCCGACAGGAGTGACTACGAAGAGATGCCCCTGCAGAACGGCCAGGCCATCCGGGCCCAGTACAAGGAAGGCTCCGACAGTGACTAGGGCCGCTGGGGCCTGGTCTCCTCCCGCGGAGGCCGCCTCCGGGCCCGCTGCACCTGCCGTAGTCAGACTCGTCTTATGGCAGAGACTCTTGCTTGTTTACATACCTTTGAAAGGAAAACCAAACCCGAGGTCAAATTTAAACGTTGGGCCAACACATTAACTTTCATTTGGGAATACTTTTCGTTTGCAAACAGATGTCCCCAGGAGTGCAGCCAAATCTAGCTTCAGATTTCAGGAAGCGAGAGCTTGTTTCCAGTGGCGAGGAGGAAGTCACTTCTGCTTTTGTTAGAGACAATTATGGTTTCTTTTTTGTTTCTAGAACTTTACAGATGTCAAATTCACGAGAGCCCGGGCCGTAGTGCCGGCGTGTCAGCATCCCGCTCCCCTCACCCTCCTGCCCTGCCGCCCTCATGCAGACCCCTTTAAGGGAAGCCTACTTCAGGGCGCCTGACCAGGACAGCCCTCCCCTCGGAGCCTGGCGACCCCTGCCGCGTCCAGTGGGGAAGGGTGACTCATCCTCCGGCTGTTGCAGCATTGAGGAGGGTGAGAAGTTTCCTAAGGAAAGGGGAAGGTAGCTGAGAGCGCACACCAGCTCCGAGGCCCGTGTGCACGCGACCATGAGGGCTGTGCACGTCAGACGTGAGTGGAAGGCCCCGTCTGGGGCTGGAGAGGAGGGCGGCCATCACATATACTGCAAAATACATAGTTTTTGCAATTCTGTGAAAAAGATGACACCCCGTAGAGCTTTATATTTTTTTAAAATAGAAGCTAAACAAATGATTAAAATATTAGTGCCGGAAAGGTTTTCAGTTTCACATTTGCAAAGCAGGTGAAAGAAGGAACCTTTGACACGGCCACAGAAGCCCATCTCCGTGGAGGGCAAAGTGGGGACCGCCCAGCCCCCACGGGGCGAGCAGACCGTCCCCCGGGCCCGGAGACGCTGGCCTGTCAGTTGAGGGTGGGTCTAGAAGGTGCTGCAGCCCTCCCTCCGCTTTCCCGCCCGCGTTCACGGTGCTGCCTCGCGGACCGTCCACAGCCGAGCATCGCAGATGTCCCGACTGCCGTCCGCTGGCAGCGCCGGGGTCGGGGCTCGGCCCCGCCACCGCGCCTCACCCGGCTAGGCAGCGCCGAGCGGCACGGAGCCCCTCGTGCTGGGTGTCAGGTTGGTGGCCGGCTCGCTATCACTTTGTATCTTTTTAATTTAAACTTTGATGATCTCTTTAATATGGATTCCATTTATATTTGTTTTTAAAAACCTTGTAAATATGAATGTCTGAATGAAAACAGCCATCATTGCAAGGATAATTCAAGTTTACATGGTTTTTACCTTTGCGACGGCGTGATCACTTTTTTGATTCTGTGTACTCAGAGGTATTGAGAACATCTTCTGTTAACAAATTTTACGACTTCTATTAAGAGTAACTCCTGATTAACTTATTCTAGTATGTGATAGTTTGTAAGATTTAAACACTATAAATTAACCGTCCATGACTTGGAATGCTGTTATTTATCAACAAGTGTAAAATACGTGAGGCACTTAGCTGTACACACTGAACTTAAACTTGTCTTCGTCTTGTAGTGCGCTCAAACGGCGACTGATACCTTCGTACGCTGCCTTCACGGCGCCCGGCCAGCGAGCTGGAGTATGAAGTCAGTTTTTGTAACTAAGTTGGAAACGAGAAATATTAGAAAAGTACTAAAGGGGGAAAGAGTTCCTTATTAAATTATGCATTTTCACCTTCTCTGGTCTGTTATGTGTCTCAACATGTTATATATTCCATGTAAAAATTTGCTTAGAGTACACAGCATTTAGCATGTATTACATGTGCCATAGGTATTAGGTTCAAACAGTGGTCTGAACAGTAGCAAGAAATTTGTTTTTCTTCTTCATTGGCTATGTTTTGCAAACTTAAATGATAAATTCAAAGGGCTGACTTTAGTTTTCACGGTAATGGCTTGAATAACATCATCTTTGGGATAATTTTTTAACACTGGTCCTGTCTAGGGTCACCTGCAAGATGACCAGAGATATCAACAGTTTCCCTAGGGAGAGCTCCATTATCCATGCGGATAATAGGTCTGCTTGATTTATTATTAAATCATTACAGCAGTGAGGTAACGCTGCCTTCTCTCTCTCAAGCCCCGTTAGAAAGGCTGGAGGAGAGGTATACAATATATCCAAGGTCTGTTAAGGTTACTGTATATAATTACAGGTTGCAATAAAAGTTTAGCTATATTATGTAAACCCAACCCCTGACAAGCAGGTACCAGACGGATGTCACCAGCCTCAAGTATTTCACTGATGCACTGGAGGTCATGGTGTTAAATGGTTATGATGTGTGTGGGACCTGCTTCCTGGGTCTGTCCACAGGGAAAACCCAACAGCTGATGAACAGGGACATCCAGTGATGACTAGACAAACACAACGGGATGTATTTTGAGGGTTTTAGAAACCAGTTGCCTTAGAGGTGAGACTTTTTGGGAAAATGATGGAACTTCCCGCCCCCCCTCCCCCAGGCCAAAGGAAAATTGATTTAGTCTGTGATGTTATATTGGTTTGACGTTTTAAATATACTACTGGTAACTATACCATACTATGAAACACACATGGATTCTCTGCTACTGAAAACTGCCTTTTTACAAAAAGACTGTAAATATTTGTAAAGCAAAACCACCAAGCTTGTCGGCGCGAGAGAGCATTCTGTATAGGATCAAGGGGCTGAGCCCCGCATGGGACGGCCACAGAGCGACCCCTGTAATCCAAGTGAATAAATGTTTGTTTATGGCAAACTCACTCGCCGGGAACTGCTTCATTCCCAGACGACCTTCCTGGTAAAGGCTGGCACGTGTTTCATGTTTACCTTGCTCTCGTCACTTGAGCCGGGCACCCACTTCACCCGGCACGCAGCGCACGGGCTCTCGGGCGCCAGGCTTTTCTTTTCAGCAAACCAACACCGAAGCATCTTTATTACCACGTCAGCATGGCCTGAAAATGAGCTCTAAGGTCAAGGATTGGGCCCACCGCTCCACTTTCTTGCATGTGACTTTACACGCAGATAACCCCCAACACATCCAGTGATCAGAAACACCCCATTGTGTGAGCCCAAAACGAATGAATGTGAGAGGATCTGGGCACTCTAAGAGAAAGACATGCTCGTGACTGCTGCTGCCGAAAAGCAAGGGCTGGGGCAGGGCCTGTCTGGGACTTGGGCCCACGGGGCGAGCAGAGCTCTGGCCAAGGGCTACGCAGCCACCGCCCCTGCTTGCCACCCGCGTGGCAGGGCGGGACCCGAGCACAGCAGTGTGGTGCCCAGAGGGACAAGTGCAGCCGCGCCCGGAAGCGGTGGGGCCCTGCCCTGGGTGACCCCGCACACCACGCCCCAGAGGAGCGAACTACAACTGTCTTCTATAGTATTCTAGATTCTGAAGTTACCTGAAGAATTCAGCTGTGACACTGTACAAAGAAAAACAAACTTTAAATTGGAATAATTTATTCTAACAAAAGTACAAAGTATGGAAAATTAGTGTATTTGAATCATTTGACAATAGAGAAAGTTTTACACTAACAGATTCCAGTTTTTAGCACCTTTGAAAAGAAACGTTCAGAGTTAAGCCCGGGGGGCGGCGATGTTCTTGAACTGGGTGTGCGGGGCCTGACAGCTACAGGGTTTCTTCTACATGTGCAGAGCGCCAGCGACAAAGAGCAGACAGGTGCTCACCGCACTCTCACCTGGGGCGGGAGGACCAGAAGCGCCGGGACGGGAGGAGGCCGGGAGGTCAGATGGACAGTCCGAAGGCGCTGACGATGCAGTACATGGTCTTGTTCTCCCATCGCACCGTGCAGCTACCTGGGGGGAGGCAGGTTGGCGCTGGAAACTGGGAGCTGGGACCCTCGATTCTGCTTTCGCCTAAGGGTGATCACTGCGCCCCCTCTGGCTGACGGAGCAGGTCGGCCGAGGGCTACCGGGCGCGGCCAGGAACCGGGCTGAGACACGGGACACCTGAGTGCGCGCCACAGAACCCCACTCTGCACGACCTACTTTTCCGCGGGATCAAAGAACTATGGGAGACGCTTAAGGAAACGGCCCGACAAGCCGCCACGACGCAAATGGAAACGCACCGTCAGTGGAGCTGTCCCAGAAGCAGGAACTGGCCGTGTGCAGCCCGGCTCCGTTCTTCTGCATAATCACACAGGTCACTTCAATTAGAACAAACTTGCATTAGAGAAACGCACTCAGCAACACACATTTTGCCCCCTTTCAGCAGAGGTGACCGCGGGCTGCCTGGCCTGATGTCAGCAGATGGCACCCCAGGCCTTTCCCACACGCCTGTCCTCAGACGTCTGCTCCGGAGCTGTGAAACCCCGAGGCGCGCCCGCCAACAGCCCGGCAGCTAAGCAGGCTCGGGTCCGACAAATGCCCCACAGCGACCCATCCCTGCCCCCGTCCCTGACGCTGGCTGCGCCCGGCCACGGCTTCAAGAGTCACGAGACACCGAAGCGCGCCTCACCGATGTATTTGAACGGCTTCCCCAGCTTGGTGAGCTGGCTCAGCGTCTGCTCCACGACGTTGGTGGTCCACTGGTTCACTTTGCTGTGCTGGTAGGCGTTGCCTCCGATCGCGCTCTCGATGGCCTGGAAACAGCAGGGAGCGTCAGCAGAACAGGCGCAGCGGGTGTTTCCCTCCAGACGGATCGGACACCAAGCCCGGCAGCTCGCCCTGACCAGAGGAGCCCTTCAAAGTTACCTTTGTTTAGCAGTGCTTCGTGTCCGCTTGAAATAAATCCCTGAGTCTGTCAACTGTTCTGACCGTTCTGATTGGACTTCACGGTTGCTGCTGTGACTGCTACCACCAGACAACCAACAGCCCTCAGAGGCCACCAGGTATTTCCCTGTGCCTCTTCCTTCCAAGTGTCTCAGATCCAGGAACCTGAAAGTGCTGTCCGTACGGTGGCCGTGGCCGGGGCCCACGCGCTCCAGTGCGCGCCCTGACCTGGTGTTGCCTGGACTGTCCCCACAGTCTGGCAGAATACAGAGCTGCTCTGTGAAACCCCAACTGGAGTCTATGTTCATGTGTATTTTTTCTTTATTAAAAATTCCTTTAAAAACAAACAGTGGGCCCTCCCTAGTGGCTCAGCGGGTTAGGGTACCACACTGCAAACTGGCTGCAGCCGCTTCAGTGCGAGTTCAATCCCCACCCCGGAGGTGACCACAGGGCGCGGCAGACCTCTCCTGACCCGCCCGCTGCTCCCCTCAGCAATGTACTTAGTTTGATCTGCCTGTTCTGCTCCCCACTCTGTCTCTGGTGAGTCCTCTCACCGCCCCTGCACCTCTGGCCTGTACCCCAACTCTGTACGCATAAATAAATGAATCTTTAAAAATAAATAAATAAAAACAGTAATTACACCTGGTTCCTTGCCTTCATTCTGATTCAAGTTTATGGTGAATCCCTGTTTCCTGATTTCCTGCGTCTTTTATGCAAAGGCCGGCGTGCCTGTCCCTAAGCAGAGCTTCTCCACCCTTTCTAATTTGTTGTGCTGGAAACCAGGGAACAGCCATAAATTAAAGCAAAACATTCAGTGGGGGCAGGCTCTGGCCTCAGATGGGCACAGATGGTCCCAAGGCTGGGGGGCAGGAAGGGGGTCTAATGTCCCTCTGGGGGACACACACCTGCTGCAGTCACATCCCAACTTCTACTGAATCAGTGACCCTGGACTAGAGAGGACACGTGAAGCGCACTTGGCACCCGCCCTCCCAGCTGGTGCTCCGGTTTAGCAGGCCCAGGTTATGACTAGATCTGGGCATCACCAGGGTGGAGTTAAACCTCTAACTCTGGCCATGCCACACACACTTTCAAACTCACTGCTTTTCAGGGGAGGAAAACCCTCTTCCAGTTTGGACCCACCCGGGCTGACTACTACTCTATCCTGAAAGTAGCTGCAGGCAGAATTAACCTGCTTCTGGGGGAAGGGTGGGGAGGCGGGAGCAACGCAGCTGAGTGGGGTACCCCGCCTGCCCCAAGGGGCACGGGAGCCCCGCCAGAGATCATGCAGGGCCAGGCCTGGCCAGAGGGACCCCGACTACTCCCTAGGGTTCCGGTGTGACTGTTTCGTCCAAACCCCCAGGTCCCCACTGTTTTCCATAAGAAATGTACTTAGGGGGTAAAAACCTATTAAGATCCTGCAAAGTAACTCAAAATCATGCCAAGTCATGTGGCTGGCACTGTCCTGGCGCAGTTCCAGGGGCACACGACTCTGCTGCTCGGGCCCCTTCCAATCACCCACATCGCCTTTCAAAGGGTGCCCTTACCCGGATCTCCTGGGGACGCCCCCAGGGCTCCACCAGCTGCCGGGGAGCGCCAGACAGGAGCGCCTCCGGCCTTCCCCGGCACCCAGCCTGCCACGCGGCTCCGTGCAGCCCCTCAAACCCCAACACACGCCTCCGGGGACAGGAACCATTGCCCACCCTGCTCCCTTAGTCACCCCCGTGCCTACTGATGCTACAGGCTCCTGCCCTGGCCACCCTCCGGGGAGTATACCCCGGAACGTGCAGCGTACCGCTCCCGGGCAGTGACCTGGGAAAAGCCCGCCCCCCACTCGGGGTGCCCCCTCAGCGCCAGCCACGTTGTGCTTTCCGAGCCCCATTCCCATCACCTACGGGAGTCGGCGACGGCTGTAAGGGGTGGCTGAAAAGTGTGAGAAACGCCGACAGTAAGCTCCACGGGGTCGCTGGAGACGCTCAGTTTTTATGTTCTCCCCTGCATTAACCACTGGAACACTTGGTTGTACGCGGTGGAACAACACCCAATAATAACGCTACATATGTAAAATTTCCTGTCTGATTACCATATCTAATTTACATAATATGGGAGTAATTCTTATCTAAATAGTCTCTGCAGCGAAAACTGTTATTTGAAATGCCAAAACACAGGCTTGGGGAAACAATTCCAGGAGGGTATTAAGCACATTATTTTCAGCCACACAGCCCTTAGTCAAACCCTGGGAAAGAAAGCATCTCCCTCTCACCTCTTTTACGATGTTGCTCACTTCATCCACGACAAAGGCAGTCTGCAGGGGCGAAAACGCACAGGTCAGTGCCAATGCAGGCAACGAAGGACGTGCTCAGGGACAGTGGGGCTGGGCTGGTCACTGGGCACAGGTCAGTGCCAATGCAGGCAATGAAGGATGTGCTCAGGGACAGTGGCGCTGGGCTGGTCACTGGACCAGGAAAACATTCACGCCAACATGCCCACGGTGCCGAGGGTCACCGACCTGTGCTCAGGAGATCCAACGCCTGTTTTTACCAAATCTTTCCAAATTTATCAGTTTTATTTCTGACAGACCACTAGAAGGGAGGACCCGCTATGTGAACTGCACCCAGAACTGCTTAGGCAGAAGAAAACGGGCATCTCTAGAGAGGCGGCGCCCATCAGCGCTCTGCCCAGTGCCTGCTGGCTGGAAGGAAAGCCACTTTCTGTGCAGGTCACTACCGTCTCTTGTGCCTGGCAAACAACTGTATTCTTTACCCAGCTCTTCCCTCCACAAAGCCACATAAGGGTACAGTGACCGCGAGTGAGGAAGACAAAGGCACACGGTCCCTGCTGCGCAGCGCTGCCCCTGGCATCAAAACGCAGGGACTGGACCACCAATCGGCGACGGAAGGGGCCCGAGAGCTGCCCGCACCGCGCGTCACACGTGTAGGTCACCCTGGAGCCTGCGACAGAAAACCAGACAGCAGAGGCACAGCGGCCTTGGGCACCCCCACCCCTGGCGAAGCACCTTCTCAGCGCCGGGGGCGCGTCAAAGAACAAAGGGGGCGAGTGTCGTCACTCCACAGCGGTCACCCCAGTGGCCGGGAGTGGGATCGGGGCGCAAAGGGGCCGGGTGGGTGTGGACGGGGTCCCGGAACAGCCCGCGTTCGAAGGGCTTAGGCAGGGCGAAAAGCGGCCCGCCGAGGTGCGAGCCCGTCTGGAGGAGACAGGGGGCAGGTGGGTGGAGCGAGTTCGGGAGCTCCGGGGGGCGGGCGTGGAGACGGCGGGGGGCTCCGGGGGCTGCGCGGGCGTGGAAAGGGCAGGAGTGGGCTCGGGGGTGCGCTGTTTGGCGAGGGGAGCAGGCCCCAGGGGCTCGCGGCGC